AAAATATAACAATACATTATAAAAGTATACATACGTGCTTATACATATATACATACTAGAACAAGTATCACACGAAGAACAGAACAGAAGTATTTAAAGGTTGAACACTGCGGTCAAACCTGGATAGTTATGTAATCATATATGGGATCTATATAGCCTGATCAACTATATTCATTCGAGATGTGACCGATTGTTATGGTTTATGTAGCTGTTATAGCTGATATGGATTATGTGGTTATGTGGATTATGTGGGGTATGCTCTGGGGAACTCACTAAACTTCGTGCTTACAATTTTATTTATTGTTTCAGGTATCATCGGTTTGAAAAAGGAGGGGCCTGGATTGATCGCAGTGCACACACCCATGTTTTCCGTATTGAATGATTTTGGGATGAACTCTGATAAATGTTTTAATTAACAATGTTTTGGATATTTGGAATAACTGATATTTATGTTCTGACTATATTAAAAATGAAATTTTTACCCTCGATTTTTGGATTGATACAGCTCTTAATTCCGCAATGTTATTTCCATAGGATCTTACAAAACCGAACGGTTTAACAAACTATAAAAACTGAACTCTTCAACTTGAATGTCATTTTAGCCGAATCAAGTCATTTACCCCTACATTGATGTATCATGAGTTAAATGAATTTAAAATCATTCATATCTCAATTTCATCACAAAAAATTAAAGTTGTCGTCTAAAGGTGCACAAATTGGACAAGTTTCAGGTACATCGTAGATTATATTAATACACATACAATGAAAATGTTTTGAATATAATGAAACTATATATGTATAATTAAAGATAACAAAATAATTAAGTGAAAAATTCTCATTGACCATTCAAAATTATTTTGTTACGGTTTATTATATAAATTGTCATTGTATTATACTAATATCTAATAATAAAAATAAGTTCTCTAACATATTGTTTATATTATAGTTTGAGATCTATCATTACTTAACAATCTTATAATTTAAAAGATGGAATGAGTCGTGGTATTTGGCTTGGAGATCGACGATCCATTTTTTTAGGACCGGTCTCAAAATGGTTTATACTTTGACCGGTCTCAGAATAGTCCAATTTTGGACCGGTCTCAGAAAAATATGGTATTTGTGGGACTTGTATCGGATGATTTTTTCGGTTATTTTTTGGATCGATCTTATTTATGTTTGGTCTTGATTTTTTTAGGACCAATGCAATACCATCTATACGTGTAAGTTTTGTCTGTGAAGGCATAATGACTTAAAAAGATAAAATTGACTTTGTATTATACATGTTTTGTCATTATTGTTTTTCTTTTTCAAAATACATGAGTTAACTTGTTGCTTTTGTCCACATTACGTCCTTATGACATGTTATAGGTTTCCAGCCAAAAGATAGATTTTGATTTTCCAGTGATTGTGGCATCACTAGCAAGTCTCCAGTCATCTTCTCCGATAATATATGATTCTTTTTCGAAGAGCTTTAACTTCATCATCATATGTTTTCATGAGATTTGTTTAGATTTCTTGTGACTTTATCAAACAAGCTAGAAAAATAGGATTAACAAGAAACAACACACGCCGAGTACATAAAGCAGCAAGAAACAAGAGCAGAGTGAGGTGAATTTGTGTTGCGATGTGAACAAGAATAGAAATAGTGTTGTTGGAAAATCCATGATATATATGTTTTCATATGAAAATGAAGATGAAGTTCGTCGTTAAAATCATATATCGCCGGAGAAAAGACTGCAGGCTTGTCAGAGATGCCAAAATCGTCGGAAAATTCATCTTTTGCCCGGAAACCTACAACAACAGATCATAAATGCATAATATGGATAAAACCACCAAATTAATCGGTGTATTAAGTAAGCGATTAAAGGAATATATACACTAAAGTCCCAATATTTTCATCGATGTGAGAAGAAAATCATAAACTTTAGTTTTTTTACAGTAAAATCCAAAAAACTGACAATTTTTGACACGTTTACCCTTTTTCCGGTTAGCCGGTAATCAGGATTTTACTATCAAAAAAATGAAATTTAGGACTTTCTGTATTTTCATAGCCCAATAACTTTTAATTTTGATTTTCGTCGCAGTACCACTATTTTTCTTACCATCATCATCTTTACCCTGATACAATCACGATCAGGGGAAACAGATGCAAAAGAAAGAGCGAGAGAGAGTGAGAAGACTTGTAAAAATCTTTTTTCTTGGTTCGCCGCCAAATCTTGAACTGAAAAGAGGGACAGATTGTATAAACACAAAAAACACACGTCTAGTCAAAAGGGTGTGAACGTGGAAAATGGGTAAGAAATGCAGTTTTGTTTTTTTCCAGTTTCATAGTTCTCCATTTTTAGGAGTGTAAAAAGCCAACACAATCATGGTTCTTTCTTTCTTGATTGATTATCTCTATTTTTTCTAATATCAATTTGTTGAGATTAAAAAAACTATTTAACAAGAAGCAAACATTACGGATGTTAATATGATATAGCTTATCAGAGCATGTTTCAATAACTCTTATGCTTAATGACTATCATACCATTAAATTTCTAACAAAAAAAAGATATATACACTAAAGTCCTAATATTTTCAACGATTTGACAAAAAAAATCATAAACTTTATTTTTTTGACAGTAAAGTCCTAATTTAGATTTTAAAATAAATTCCTAATTTTTTTTTTACAGTAAAATCTTAATTACCGGCTAACCGGAAAAAATGATAAACGTGTCAAAAACTGCCAATAGTTAGGATTAGACTGTCAAAATATAAAATTTAAAACTTTATTATGAAATCAATAAAAATATTAAAACTTTACAACGTGCATAAAACAAAAACAATGCTGCATTTTTAAGCGATCATCCGGTCCCTATAAACAAGTGCAAAGTAGAAAGTGTAAATTCAGCCCATTTTATAATTAAGTTGAGCCCATTTTGTACTATGGTTATGGACTTATGGTACTTTATCCTGTTCAATGGGCTTTGCGCTCCCTTGAGCCTTAAGGCTTAACGTCACGTGCTCAGATCATTGGATTCAATGTCTTTCATAGACCCTTTACTCTGTTCGTTTGAAGAAAAATAAAATTGATAATACCGAATTTTAGATCAACTACAATCAGTAAAATTGAAGAAATTAATGTTAAAGAATAGACCAAAACAACACTTGAGAAATTCAACAAAACACTTATGCTCACACACATGCACAAGCATTAGTGCTTACATAGTTACATTTCTTTTTCCTTATAAAAAATCAATAATCACCACGTAAAATACTCATCCAAAAACAGCACCATGCTTAGATGCATATTTATGCGCATTTTTTCAATTTCTTTGGATAGAACACCTTACGTTAGTCTATATTTCATAACCGAGGAACTTATATAAAATTAACATAACCAAAAGGGTTAAACAAAGCTTCACACATAAATCATAACCTTTGCCTTCTTCACCTTCATATCTATAAACTACAAAAATTCTAACTCCCCACTCCTTTGGATCCTTTAAGTCTTAAAGATTCGTAGGTAGGTCAACAATCCCACACATTCCTCAACCCTATTTCACTATATATGCCACCTTATATCTCACCCTTACCATTTCATGAAAAAACACAACATTTACCAAAATGACCATTCTACCCCTCACATTCCTCTATCTCCTTACTTTCTCAAGGGCAATATCGTCAACCAAAATCGGCGTAAACTTCGGCCGAGTAGGTAACAACCTCCCATCACCATCTCGATCCATCGAACTGCTCCAAACCCTAAAAGCGGGTCGGGTCAAACTCTACGATGCCGACCCGGAAATCCTCCGACTACTATCCGGCACGAAACTCGAAGTCATGATAATGGTCACGAACGATGAAATATCCGCCATTGCTAGAAATCAAGAACTTGCAAACCAATGGGTTTTTGAACATGTCATTAACCATTACCCCGAAACCATGATCCGATTTATCCTTGTTGGAAATGAAGTGTTAAGTTTTTCGAGCACCGATCAAGATCGACAAATAATGGACGATCTTGTCCCCGCCATGCAACGGATTCGCGACGCCCTTACAACCGAAGGGATTAGCAGTATCCAAATCAGTACCCCTCTCGCTATGGACATCATGGAGAACACATTTCCACCCTCGAGCGGACAATTTAGGGGCGAAATCGTCCACGAAATTGTCCCGTTACTTGAGTTTTTACGCGAGTCGAATTCGGTTTTTTTCGTGGATGTTTACCCGTATTTTTCATGGGCGGATAATCCAACGAGTATAAATCTTGATTATGCTTTACTTGGTGGACATCAAATATATATGGACCCGATGAGTGGGTTAACCTACACGAACCTTTTGGATCAAATGCTTGATTCCGTGGTTTTCGCGATGGCTAAATTGGGCTACAATGATGTGAAGATTGGTGTAGCGGAGACCGGTTGGCCACATGAAGGTGGAATTGGAGCGAATAGAGAGAATGCCGCAATGTATAACCGGAATATTGTAAGAAAAATGACCATGGTGCCACCAAAGGGAACCCCGGCTAAAACCGGAATCGTGATTCCGACTTATATTTTTTCTTTGTATGATGAGAATGAAAAATTTGGTCCGGAATCGGAGAGGCATTGGGGGTTGTTGCATCCGGATGGGAGTCCGGTTTATGAAGTGGACTTGAGTGGGAAGGCGTATAAGAGTTAAGACATGATTGTTGATTCTAAAGGTGTGTAAGGTTTTGGATTCGGAATTGGAATTTGATATTTTATTTTAAATGGAGGAAATTCAATTCCAACGTATTCTTCAAATTCTATGGTTGATAGGATTTTGTCGAACCTAGGGATTGGTGAAAGGATTTCGATTTTCATTCTTCCACCAAAAGTCCAAAATACGCTATTCTATAGAAAATTAATAGTTACACCCCTTGTAATTTCTAATTCGAAAATTGATACTTACACCATCAAGGTATTAACGAAATTTTATGATATCTAAAGGATTAATTTTATAGAATAAAAACGTACTTTTTTATTTCTCACTGAAGTCACTAAAGTGATTATTATACACTATAGAACTTTGTACATTGTACTTACAAAAAAGTCTCGGGTCATCGAGTAGATAGTTGACTAAATCAAATGTGTTGAAGTGATATCTACATCAAATACAAAGTTCATATACTCCTATTATTTTTCTTCAATTATTTTTTCTTAAATTGCCAATAAAATTATATATTTACATTAGATCTAGTTAAAAAATTCGTAAACATAGGATCGATGTCACATAAAAAACCTCAAGTCTAGTTCCAAAAGACACATATAACTTTTAAAGAAAAAAAAAATTGTAGTGTATGAATTCAGAGTTAGGTGAAGTGATATCTTTATACCAATAGTGTGGCATCCACTTGCAACCATTAATATAAGTGCATTCAAAGTGGGAAATACAAAAACCCAAAGAATTCCCATTACACCAATGGAATCACCGATTTCCATCAAGATTCTTCTCCTCCACCTATCTCTCTTCTCCGCCGCCCTTCACCACCATGTAGATGCAAGTTTCTTGCCGGAAAACACCGCAACACCACCTCGTTATGGTTCATTAGAAGATTTAGTGGAGGAGTTGTTGGAATCGGATATTTCAAGAAGGTATTTGGAAGAAAAGAGATATATTTCTACCGGAGCTTTGAAGAGAGATCAACCAGCATGTGGTGGTGGTGGTGGTGGTGAAGCTTATACAAAATCCGGCAGCTGTACCCCTCCTCCTTCTAATCCTTATAGTAGAGGTTGCTCAAAGTATTATAAGTGTAGGGGTTGAATATTAAGGTGTTTGGTTTGTATAATGTTTTTGGAAGAAATGGTATATGTTAAAGGAATTGGAATACAAAGAAATTGTAATTTGTCACGTGATGGAATTTGATAATGAAAATTTTATGTTTTTACAATTTTACTTTTATGTGTGGATTTTTTTTATATTTTAATACAACTCATAGGTGCATTTTGGTTTTTTTTTTAACAAAAAAGGAATGAAATTTGCATTCCTTCAATATCTATAATTGGAATTTGTTACAAGTTTCTACTTAAACTTGTATAATTAAAATTCTCTTAATTATAATTAGTTTTCTATGTTTCAAAATCAATTTGGCAACCAAACAGCCATTGAATGGAATCTCGAATTCTAATTCTACTGGATTCCATCAGAATCTACGAGCCAAAAACATTCTGTGAAACAGAATGTTTTTGAAAGTCATAAAATACTTGAACTTGAATAATAAGAGAAAATGTGCATGATAAACCATCAAGAAGTTATCTTTACAACAAGAGAATACGACAAAGTTGAAGCAAATCAAAATAGCTCATCTATTTAATATGAAAAACAACTCAAACAAAAATTAAGTTAACAAACACTCATTAAACTTCCTTCATGTGGAGATGATTAATAATTAATGACTATATTATAAGACAAAATTCAAGAAATAGCAACATATTTTTAATTTTTAAACATCATAAAATGTCACTTAAATTGAAGCTTCCACACCTCACGAACATTAGATGATCCACCACCAACCTCCGCAATGAGGCTAGCCACCATAACATCTAGCATCAAATTTATAATATCAATTTTCTAAACTTATAATAATAATAATAATAATTATAATAATAATAATAATAACTAAAAGTATGTTGCCATTTCTTACTCACCATCTTTCTCAACCAATGATATGAAACGTCTTGATCCCCCTCCAACCCCAAAATAGTACTTTTTTGCAGCCATGTAAACAACACCATGAGGATGACTCATACACTGACAAACAAAACAAAAAGTCAACATTATTATCAAGGAAATTCAAAAGGTGTAAACAAAAAAGTCAACATTATTGTACTTTGAAAATTTTACCCAATTATAGCATTGTACTTTTAGTTTTTTCTTATTATGACATTATACTTTAAAACATTTACTCATTAGTCATTCCTTTGTATTTAAATAAAATGGTAAAAGACCTTATATTTTGTCTTTTTTTCCAGATTAAATTTCATCTTTATTTTTTACATGAAAAAGAACTTGTATTTTTTCATTTTTGAGTAAATTACACGAATGGTCCCTATGGTAATTTGCACGTTTGGTCACTAACTTTTTTTTTTATCTCGGAAGGTCCCTACTGTTTGTTTTTGTTATGCGTTTGGTCCCTGTCTTACCTAAAAAGACTATTTTTTCCTTGATTTTTTAATTTATTTAAATGAACACAACCCTAACCCCATCCCCCCCCCCTCCCCTGATCTTACCTACCCCACCATCTTTCCCTATTTAAATAATAGTCTTTTTAGGTAAGACAGAGACCAAACGCGTAACAAAAACAAACAGTAGGAACCTTCCGAGTTAAAAAAATAAGTTAGGGACCAAACGCACAAATTACTCAAAACCTTCCGAGTTAAAAAAATAAGTTAGGGACCAAACGCACAAATTACTCAAAACCATAGGGACCATTCATGTAATTTACTCTTCACTTTTTCCGAAAAAAAACCCTCAACTGGAAAAAAAAACTCGACCTTCTAAAGGTTTCCAAATAAACCCTCAACTTTTTTAGTTTTTCCTTAAACAACTCACATTTTACAACTTTTTTTTAGAAAATCGACTAAAAGGTCCAGATTGGAAAAAATGAACAAATGCAAGGTCTTTTTCATGAAAAAAATAAAGTTGAGGTTTAATTCGTAAAAAACACAAAATATAAGGTCTTTTATGAGATTAATGAAACTACATTGTTATTTCTTGCATTTGATCTTTAGATTAAATAACATTATGAAACCATGAGGCACCTTCTTTATAAGTTGATAAAGAGCAGGAAGAGTAGAAATTGAGTAAACTGTCTCAGCCATGAGAATGATATCATAACCAAATGACGAAATTGCCCCCGAGCTACAGTTTGAATCCATGTCATCAGTTTGTAAATTGGGTAGTATTTGATGTACTTCACTCCAATCACCAGCAAAGAAACGAACTTCTGAAGATAAAGACTCAGACTTTACAGGAAAATTAGCAACAACATTGGGAATCGTGAGACACTGTAGGACCTCAGAGTTGAAATCTTGGAAATGTACACAAGAAGCACCCTGAAAATATGAAGTAAAAGACATAAATACCCTCCTCATTTCCCACATTAAAAACCATCATCTTGTATGGCATATAGACAAAAAGGTGGGACAAGGACTCGCTTTCAATCTCTTGTCTGTGTAAAATACATGAATGCCCTGATCTCTCTTGTATGTACAAAAGACGTAAATGCCCTCCTCATACTGATTATAAAAAATAGCCCTAGAAAGCTTACCTGGAGGCAAGAAAATATTCCTGGAAGTCCGTGTCCACAACCAAGCTCTAGTACTTTCTTTCCAACCAATGATAGATTGCCACATTCCATCTCTAATCGAAGAGTCTTGATCAAATCCAATGAGCCTTCCCATAGCTTTAGCCCCCCTAATCCACAAAATGAAATGCCCATAAGCACAATAAGACAAGATGTTAAAAGTGCTTAATAATCAGCCATTAAGACACTTGGTATAACTGTATAAGTGATTAAGTGATTAAGTGATGAAGCAGTATTCACAAACCTTCATATTTTCCTGGTACTAAATCTGAATTCGATAATGCAAAAACTTCATGGGTACTCACTCGACCCTACAAGAAACAGAAACTTCAAACGAATCAGTCCCCATGTAGATTTATTACAGGCAAGATCGTATATTTTAGCATCACATGGATCAATGAATTGGGAAAGTCTAACAACCCTAAAAAGGTCGGTAGTATTTGCCCTTTTGCAACAGAAATTAACCACTCATAGCAATAACAAAGAGATGTAGTTAGCAAAAATTTGGGTTTGGGAGTTATGGAGATTTGAGTTAGTAAGTTGACGCATTTGAGTTCGAGGTCGAAAGCAGCACGATAGGAGATTGAGTTACCTTTAGCAGAGTAAGTCCATCGAAATTGACAGGCTCGAAAGTTGGTTTTATGGAAGATGAAACCTGTTATAAGTGCAGGTAGAGGGTGATATGAGTTTTTTAATGGAAAGGGGATGCTGAATAGATAGAAAATTGATACCTCGGAAAGAAGGACTTCCAGGCAAGGAGGTGAAAGTGGAAGAGGAGGCTTTTCCGGCGAATCGTCAAGAAACGACAACCCTAGTTGTGTTTTGTTGTCATCTGTTGAAGGAAACAGGCGGAAAGAATCAAGTTCTGATTGATTTGCCGCCATTGTTGGCGCTGCTAAGATTTGTGGGCACTTTGGGTTTTTCAAGCCTAGGTAATGGACTAAAGGGGCTCATCGGGAAATTTTGAATGGTACGGGATGTTTTTGGAAAGGAATAGATTAATTTAAGGGGGGAGTAGGCTAATCAAGAAGCGCTTGGGGTAGAAAATTACACAAAATTTTAGGTACCTGTTTACGGAATTGGAACCGTTTCGAAACCACCGTTCCGGAACTGGAACCGTCTTAAACGGTTCCGATTCCGGCTCCTAAAGTAATGGAAACGCATTAAATGGTTCTGATTTTAGTTTTTATTTTTTTGGAACTCTTACCCACTTGGTACCCGCCGATTATGATTCTCATGTTGGAATTTTTATATGTTAGATTCCAAATATATCAAGCTATAAGTGCTTGTTGAAAATCATTCCTTTGAATTCTATCGTATTAAGACTATAATAATAATAATAATAATAATAATAATATTTAATATACTATACTAAATATGTATTATGTTGTACATAATTAAGTTTATATTTTTTAATTCGTTACGCTTTTATGTTCTAGCGTCTGTATGAAAGTGAAATATTTATTTAGGTTCCAGCGGATTGTGTCGATTGTTATTTTGAAACAATTAATCATCTCTTTATATAACCGTTTCTGTATATTAGTAAGATATAAAGACTGGAGTATTTTTTTTTTCGAAAGACCACTTAACGACTAATTTAATTTTAAACAACGAATCCAAGCATCTACCTTTATTTTATATAAATGATACATAATATTTTTAGAGATGTCAAAGGTCTCATGGGACCCCGTTCCCGTGGGGATCCCGTCCTATTTGGGGGTATTTATTAAAAGAAATTAGGGATGGGGGCAAGGTTAACCTTCATTTTAATTTCGGGGGACGAGGACGGGGGTGGGCAATCTCATCCCAAAACCCCGATGGGGACCCCATTAACAAATTATACATATATTTACATATATTAATTATAAAAATATAATAAACAATAATATAATTTTGAACTTCCAAAATTCAACAAAAAAACATGTTTTTAAGTTGTTAGTATAATGTTTTTAAGATGTCATAACTTTTTTATTTTTAACATGTAAAATTTTGGTACAAATAATTATTAGTATATTGTTTTTAAGATGCCATAACTTTTATAATGTATTTTTAGTAACTATTATTATTATTATCATTTTATAAATTAGACATTGTCTACCCATAACCGGAACTGGTTTCGGCGGTTTCGGGAGCGGTTCTAAAATCATAAGAACCGGTGTAATCAGTTTCGATTCTGGTTCTAACATTCTAAGAACTATCGGTTCCGGTTCCAACACATATGGTCGGGTACATGCCTATGCTCATCCCTACAGAACATGTACAAAATTAAATATATCATTTGAAATATCCTTATATTTCCATGAAAAAATATATTCTAAAATGATAGTTCAATTAGAAACAAATATTTCGGATATGTGTTTCTGATTAGGAGTAATGGGCTATTTGATATTTTTTTATTGGGTCTACATAGTGATTAAATTGGACTGATATCACAATACTATAGCCTCTAATATTTTTT